TGGGGGAGGGGGCCATACATTTTCAGATTTTCAGTTGGGGGGCACTTTCAACTATACCAAAAATTCCTTGACAAGCAAAAAAAAAAAAGGTCATCAGACGTTATCATTGAGGGGCACAAGTATATAGTAGCTATGTTTTCTATAGTATCTATATATCGGCAAAATTACTGGGGGGGGGGCACGGGCCCCTCATGCCCCCCCCCCCGGTTCCTACGGCCATATGCGATGAGAGCAATAATTATTTTAAATTTCAATTCAATTGATGAGAACAACGATTTGATGCAAGCAACAAATAAATTATTTTCTCCTTAATTCAATTCATGCGCGCATTATTGATGAGCTCAAATATGTACGTATTGCTTGCAAAACTAATTTAGAGTTCGATATAAGGAAAAAGGTGAAGATAACGAACAGGTATCAATTATAGAATTTTTATAACAAACTTCGGTCTTGAAAATTATTTGCTGAATTTACCAAAAGATTTAAGAATTATACTTATAGAACTAAGGACATGTAATCATCATTTGCCAATTGAAACAGGTAGATGGAATAATATTGATAGAAATTTAAGAATATATACCAATTGTGACTGTAAAAGAATTGTTGATGAATTTAATTATGTTATGGAATGTAAGTACTTTTCGAAAGTCAGAAAAATATTTCTCCAAAATAAATATTGTAAAAATCCTCACATTTTCACGTTTAATGAACTCATGAACACAAATGATGTAGAAATACAAAAATCGTTGTCAAACTTTATTAAGATATTTTTCAAAACTGTCTGTCTTTCTTGAATCCTCTATATAACTGATTATATGTTTGCTTCATTCTGTTCTTTTTTTTTCTTTATATACTTGTCTATCTTTTGACTGTTATTTTTGTTTGTATATATATGTATATATGTACCTCTTGTACCAGTGGTCTGGTTTTGAGAGAATAAAAAATTGCAAAAAACATAGACCCCCGGAAATCTCAGAGGTGGGATCAGGTGCCTAGGTGGAGTAAGCATCCCCAGTTGATCAGTCACACCCCGCCGTGAGCCCTATGTGTTAATAAGTGTAGAAGATTTAACAAAGGCCTAGCAATTGGAATGAAATATGTTAGTCAGAATACGACCCAATGATAGGTTATATTTGCTAACAAGGTCATAGAATTTACGAAATGCTGACTTTAAACGAGGTAGTTCAAATCTCTGTACTTCAGTTTATCTGTGGCCTGCCTGGTAGCCACAACTTGCTTCAGGAGGCTTCGCTCTGTATAAAAATTAGTCATACTCAGAGAATGCTCTTGAGTATCGAATAAGTTGACAGACATAAACACCATATGCAGGTGATCGCGGAATATTGCTGCATAAATAAGGAAAGTTGACGATGGAGAAAGCTGAAATCTCGTTTGTCATACAATTTAGTTATTCGTTGGCCCTTGTCTTTTATAGTCAGTAAAACATCCAAATATGAAACAGAAGATGCAGATTGTGGTGTCTTTTATTTCAAGTTCACTGGATATACCAAGTCGACATAGGAATTGAAGTAACTATTGATAATTGATAAAGTGTCATCGATATATCTGAATGTCGTGTTGAAGGCCGCAGAAAGTGTTTTCCTCTTCTCATGTAGAAGTTTTTGGATAAATTCTGCTTAATAAAGTGAAGCTCAGGCAAACTTTAAAATAATGTTTGCTTGCCCTCTCCCGACTCAGGATGAGAAAATTGAGTCAGTAGGTAGGCGAGAAAAATTTTTTCAAAGAAAATTTCAAAATCAATGCTGAATTTTCAAAATCTATTTTCCAGGATACATAAAAAATAATTGCTTCCTGGAGGTTAAAAGAAGTTTGAGTCGGTCCATTTTTACCCAGTCGATCGGGAAAGGGCAACCAAACAATTTTTTAAAGATGGCTTCACTCATTTTATTATTTTTAAACCGATAGTGGGGGCACGAAGAACACATTATATTAATTAAGGGTAAATTGCCACAGACCTACAAATTGAAAATAAATGAGTTGCTTATAGACCCCCCCCCCCCCAACCTAAGAATGACCCACTATTCCATATCCACTGTATACATTGCAAATTAATTTTTAGTTATCTGAATACTAGTAACTCTGATGTTACAGTAATTTTCAGTGTGTTGTGTGCATGTTGCCATTATTAGTACTGAGAGAGAGAGAAAGAGAGAGAGAATTGACCACCTGTTGCAAGCGGTAGATAACTCTTTACAATCGTTTGATAAAACTTTAAAATGGCTCCATAGCTCAGTTGGTTAGAGCGCCAGTCTAGTAAACTGGAGGTCGAGGGTTCGACTCCCCCTGGAGCCTTTTTTGCTAACATGGTGAAAATGTTTGGCCAAATCCAGGGAGAGTTGCAAACTGATGAACATCTTAAAATGAATTGATAAACTTATTCTAACAAAAAAAAAAAAAAAAAAAAAAAAAAAAAAAAATCCAGTGTTTTTTTTTAAAACACCGATGATTCATCAAACTCATCTTACACAAAAAACAAAAACAAATTTGACCCCCCCCCCCAAAAAAAAAAAATTAAAAATTATGCAAAACGAGCAATATTCATGGATATGTTTCAACCATTGTTAAAGTCTCTATTCTCTATTAAATGAAATGAGACTACGAGTTTCTCAGAATTGATTTTTTTTAATGTGCTTAATCTACCACAACGATTTGTTTAAATAAGCGTATCGATCGGGGGCTCGGGGGCTTATGACTCGGTAAACACAAAAGAATGTGTTTTAAACTGTGATTTTTAATGAAAAATGAAGAAAATCTTCTATAATATGACTTTTTTAACATTATCACACAAATGAAATATATCCAGATTGTCTACAGTCTCACAGAAGCAGCACTTCTTATGTTCTTCACTTCTTTTAAAATAACATTAGGCCATTCCAAGTTTTTACTATGTTTAGCGTCCACCCAATTTTTAAAAACCTTCCTACCTTTGCGCAAAAAATACACAAACCATAAAAGTAAAACACAGACTTTATAGTCATAAAAATGACGTAATTTATAGGATTTTATTTCATAAATTTATTTTTCTCGTTGAAATATGCATTCTTTAGCAAAATCAAGGTATTTTATGCTTAAAATATACTTATCTGGTAATATGACATATTGTAGTGAAATATATGGAGATAACGAACAGTATTCAAGCTCAAATGTCCATTAAACAATACAAACCAGGAGCAGAGAAAACATGGACCCCTAAAATTCAGAGGTGGGATAAGGTGCCATGGAGGAGTGAGCATCCCCTGCCGACCGGTCACACCCGCCGTGTGCTCCTTGTCATGATCGGGAAATAGCGAGAAATCCGTCAGTGTGTAAATAATGATCTAACAATTAGCATGAAAAAAAGTATGACTTAATGATAGATTGTATTTGCTGACAAGGTCATTGTATCAACTGTAGACAGATCAATATAGAAAATGACAGAATTCAAAGATTTCGACCAGGATAAACAATTTCAGGACTCCTGATTTTGTTTGTTTTTTTTCTAATATTGTGTGTCAACAGGCGCGTAGCTGTCTATACGCAAATATGCAAGTGCGTACCCATCATTTTCAAAAGAGAGAGAGAGAGAGAGAGAGAGAGAGAGAGAGAGAGAGAGAGAGAGAGAGAGAGAGAGAGAATTATTCGGAGAAAAAAAATCTCAGTACCATCCAAGAAATATTTGTGGTTCAAATTATTCTGTGTCATACTTTTCGATTTAAATTTTAAATTATCATGGCTGTATGATAAAATTTGAAATTCTATATTTAATCACTGCCAAGTTCAAATAAATCATTCATTATTTTGTCATTGTTCTATCATACATTGATATTTTTTTTTTAAAGATCTTTGAGAAATTAAATTTCAACCACATCGTTGAATGCTATGATCTACTAGTATGATTTACAATACGATATTTTTTGTTCATGATTAAAATTAAGTATACGTGTTTTTGAACGTTAAAAAAAATTATATGATACATGTACAATGTACCAATATATCGGTTATATTTTAAGCCTCAACTACATGTACAATAAGTTTCCATGGAAGTTTTAACTTTGTTAAAACAATAAATATTACTATGTCTTTTATTTTACTATGTCTTTTATTTCCTAAACAAAAGCTAAATGGCCCAAGTTTTATTTTGCAAGAAAATGAATGAAATATTTGGTAAAACTCAGGAGCTTAATTCTAGGTCCTCATCAGCAGGCACAAATTATCGGGGGGGGGGGGGGGCTCCACCCCAACTTATTTTCAAACCTAACCTTTTACTATTGAAAATGTACATTGAAAGGGTGGACCCGACTGTTTCTTGTAGCACTGTTAAATCATGGTAATTTGGTAATGTATTAATAAACTTTGGTTTGTGAAAGTTGGACACCCCCCCCCCCCCCAACAAACACACACAAGAAATAGGACTTCAAATTTTGACTTTTTTCTTCTTTGCTTGTCAAAGTTTTTAAAGTTGTAATTTTTTCCTGGCTGGCAGAAACTATATTACGTGTCTGACGCCCTTGACACACTGGGGGTGGGAGGGCTCAAGACCCCCACCCCACCCCCTGCCTTTCTCTGCGTACACATCATTTTCATTCTGGCTATGCGCCTGGTCAAAAACCAAGACGCACGCGGACTAAACATAGAAAAAACTTGGAATGACCTTAAATTGAATATTTGTATCCAGATAACGTTTTACTTGATTCCTAATTGAATGCCATGAAAATGCTTCATCATTTTCTACATAATAAATATAATGTTGGCTGTAAAGCACGAGAAAAAGTCAAACTACCCATAGTCCTCTGCGTCTCCGCACACAGAACGAACTCTAGCGGAAGTTTGGAGAAAAAGTCAGTTGAATTGTGACGTCATAATGGATCTGCTACTTCAATGACGTCACAATACTGCCTCGATCATAGCTGACCTCACAAAGATCTTCGTCACTTGTGCTGATCATGGCTCCAGTAACTGAGCAATATGTAGTCTAACCTTTTCAACATTCATTTGCTTACTGGGATATATTTTTTAACAGGGAATTTGGGTGGGAATTGATAAATTATTCGGGATTGGGAATTATTTTATTTCAAAAGAATGATTAAAAAACATGAAATCACCAGCAAGCCAGTATCTGGCGACGTGATAATGCAACCTGGAGTTGTTCCGTCAAGTATAGAAACTCAGCCATACCAGGAAACATTCGATACGAGTCTATTGGTCGGGCCTGTGTATGAAAGCAATACCAATAGAAAGAAAGCGGTCATCAAGCAGGAGTTATCAGATATCACCAAACGTCTTCATCAGGTATATAAATAAAAAATATAGATATTAATAACGTTATGTATAAGGAGGGGGTATGGAAAATGAAATTAAAGTCAAATGTTGAATCTTTTTAATCTTTAAAAAATTGAAGATTTTTTTAAATATATTGTCTCTAAATAAGAAAATGATATTTTTCAGACTCTCTATACATACGACACATTAGATGAATATTCTGCTGAAGCTGCCTCTGTAAGTCAGATATGAATGATTATACTTGTCGAATATATGAATATAACGGACATGTATTTAAGACATTTCCTCATTAAGTGCACAAGTGCCAGCGAAAAAAATATTCAAGGAATGTCATGATAGTCACTAATTTTTAGAATTTGATATTTATTTTATCAAAGAATAAAACATATATATTCCGTTTGTAAATACTTGTAGAATGATTCATATGTGGCCAAAGTACGAGAAAGGATTAACGGACTAGAATCAAAAGAGGTACGTTTAACCATCTAACTTTGTGTGATTTTTTTCTCTCTTCAAATTAGATTTTTTCGTACACAAAATATTATGATTATTTTTTTTTTCAGATGAGAGATCAACTAAATGTTTTCGTTGGACGATATGAAGAGATGTCAACATCAGTTGCAACAGCCAACAAGGAACGAGATGACGTATATACAAATATATTATGTCATAATTTTAATATAACGGTTTCAACATTTTGAACAGTTATTCGTTTTTTAAATATGAGATGAATGACATAGTTTTCAAGTTGAAAATAATTAAAGTAATAAAATTTACCCTTTTCAGCTTCTTCTAGAGTTGGCAGATGTAAGTATTGCATTTAAAGGAAGTTTTTAAAAAAATCAGTTAAATAAATTCTTTGCATCTACATGAAATGTCGAGAAAGAGGGGAGGGTGTGTGTGTTAAAAATATGGATTTTATAAAAGCAGATACTAGTAGATGTAAAAAGTTCTATGAAGCTCTGTCATTATACATGTATATACTAATTCAATTGAAGGCCCCCTTTCCAGTATTTCGACCGTAGTTCTGAGTGTACATGTACATATATCAAAACTCATAGGAATGCTGCATGTTCTCTTACTGCAGCAGATCGTCTTTGGCCAGTGCATACATTACGTATGTATTATACATGTACTCGACCTCACTTGATCTTTTCAGGAAAATCGAATACGCGTTACAGAATCAGTTTGTGAAATTTATTCTATTTTTGAAGCTAAAAAAAATCAATGTTGAACCCTTTTCTTTTTTTAGTGGTTCACCGCGGATCATACTGATATAGTAAGTATAACATCAACAATTCAAAGCTGAGAAACTTTTAACATACATGTTACTAAATGATCATATACATGTACAAATATTCAGAAAATTAATGAAATTTGCATTTATTAATTGTGAAATCATTCTTCTCTCAACAGGAAGGCAGTTCTGCAGTCAGTGAGAAAGAAGAAAGGGAACTTTCGTAACTTTACTTGTTTTATTTCATCATTCATGTCTTTTATAAATTTTAAAAATAAATAAATAAATTAAAAAAAAAGATTCTTATGCGAAATTCTATCTCTTTGTAATTGCTCGTCATCAATAACATTGCTACATGAACATTTCCATGATTTCAGGAAAAGTTATGCAGAGACCGTGGCTACGTTTGAAAAGCTGAAAAGAATCCAACAACAAATGACTGCAGATCCCAGCAAGAAAAACAAAATATTAGCCGAGTAAGATCTTTTCCGGAAACCCATATCATGTTTAGTAGTAGTTATCTCAAAGGATTTCCGGTGTAAATATGAAGTATGGCGGGAATATTATTTTAGGAAAGTTATTTTAATTTTATCAGGGTTTATGCTACTTAGTATATAGGTCTCTGATCGCGTGTGTTGTGTTTCTTTTTAAACTGCTGATATCAGAGAAAGCCAACAATGATTCCATAGAATTGTAAATATGTTTGTGTTTTTTGTATCAATCTAGAAGCTTCTTAAATTACAGCTGCTAGGCAGGGATCTAAATATACGGTAGTATGCAGGTCCCTGCTCTAGTCTAGATTTTTAAAAACTTAATGTTTGATACTTTTTATCAATGATTGCATATGAATGTTGTTTTAACTTTTCTAAATACCAGCTGGTCCGGTACAATCTCTTGATTTAGCTATACAGCTTGATTAAGCTATATAGCTTGATTTAGCTATATAGCTTTATTAAGCTATTCAGAATAGCTTAATTTAGCTA